AGGAGGGTATCGGAAAACCATACTCTTTACACGGTTTCGTGCCCCTCCCACCCCTTCAGGGAGGCCCCGCCTGAGCGAGGAAACCACCAACGCCCAGAGGGCTGGTGGGATTGAGAGTCTGTGTGCCGGAGCTCCTTACATGTCTGCAAGGTCGCTGAGCCTAGTGCACACCAAGGGGTCCTCCAGGGCCTCGGCAAACCCTTTCAACATGAGCGGACAGGATGAGGAGGAGGAGGAGGAGGGGGAGGAGGAGAGGAGGAGGAGGAGGAGGAGGAGGAGGAGGAGGAGGAGGAGGAGGAGGAGGAGGAGGAGGAGGAGGAGAAGGGAGGATTGGGACCAGATAGAACCCATGATGCATCAGCGATATACACCCTCCCGTCCCATGTCCCCTCCTCATAAGTTCCTACACGCATCTTTTCCAAACCTCGGACGCGCGCCCAGGAAAGACAGGCGCCCCATGGGCGTGGCATTGGTGAGGAAACTGAAGTTCAATACATCTGGCAGGTTTTTTTGGAATCGCAACTGGGTTTTCATATGTGTTTCAAGAGCTATATCTTAGAATGCTCAGAAACCCAATGGCTTTGAAAAGGATTTCGACATGCGCGCGCGGCGACGCCGCTCCAGAGTGCTCGCGCGATGAGACTGGTGTGACGACCTTTTGCCCACAGCATTCGCAGTCGAAGTCCGAGTAGAGCTCTCAGAGTTGGGAGTCCGCGTGACAGACCAGGCCAATATGGTCGCACTGAGTCCCAAGGACGAGGGGGAGAGGCGGAGAAGGACGGCGTCAGTCGCTTGGCTCTGAACCCTTTGGGGGTTCTGCCAGCAGCATTGGCTCTTCTGGGCTCGTGCTACTCCCCCAGTGGGAGCGCTGAACCCTCCGGGGCCCGTGCTCCCACTCACCTGGCGCTGAACCCTTCGGGGCTCGTGCCAGGTGCCAGTAGCGCTGAACCCTTCGGGGCTCGTGCTCCTGAAACTGGGAGCGCTGAACCCTCCGGGGCTCGTGCTCCCGCTCACCTGGCGCTGAACCCTGCGGGGCTCGTGCCAGGTGCCAGTAGCGCTGAACCCTTTGGGGCTCGTGCTACTGAAACTGGGGGCGTTGAACCCTCCGGGGCTCGTGCTCCCACTCACCTGGCGCTGAACCCTTCGGGGCTCGTGCCAGGTGCCAGTAGCGCTGAACCCTTTGGGGCTCGTGCTACTGAAACTGGGAGCGCTGAACCCTCCGGGGCTCGTGCTCCCAATCACCTGGCGCTGAACCCTGCGGGGCTCGTGCCAGGTGCGCTGCGCGAGGTGAACAACCTGGAGGCCAAGCTGCTGTTGACCACGCTCACGTCCGACGGCGTCGTCGGCTCGTGGCGCCAGGACCCGACCCCTATCGCCTTCAGCAACACCGCGTGCCCTTTCGCGAAGTGCGCCTCCGTGACCTTCGACCCAGACCTGGGCTTCGCTGTCGTGGACGGCTCGACGGTCACCTCCGTCCGCGTCCTCGTCACCTTCCAGGACCCGGATGGGGACGAGGAGACAACGGTGCCCGACACCGCGCAGGGCTTGCGCGTCACGCGGGTGGCCACGTGCGCCCTCGAGCCCGCGGGCCAGGAGGCGCCAGCGAAGTTCCAGTTCACTGCTGGCGGCCTCTCCAGCGCCGTGCAATGGCTGGTCCGCGCCGACGGGACGTTCTTCCTGAGTGTTACAAAACGGAAGAACGACAACACTTTCGTTGTTCAGACACACCACAAGGTGACCCCGCCCGACGCAGCGTTGTGGGCGCAGCTCATGAACAAGACTTTGGCGATCGCGAAGGGCCCGCCGCTTAACTTCGGCCACTCCATCACTCCAATGAAGCGCAAGCGCGCGTTGGACGAGGCCGCTGGCCCCTCCGCGGCTGCGGACATGACAGTCCGCAGCCGCGGGCTGGTCGAGGGGTGAGCTGCGTCCGCCCACCGCTGGTCGCCCCCGCTGCTTCGGTCTGCTGGTGTAGCGGCGCTTGCGTTGCAGCAGGTGGAGGTGACTTGGAATCGTACTACCATCGGTTTTCACTGCAGTGGCTGCGATTAAATACCACTCCGCGTGGGCTTAAGAGAAGCCCACCCCACGCGTCGGCCCGAGTACAGTCAGGCTAGTAGGTTAACGCCGTGTGCACAAAACCATAATGCAGCGACACATTGGTTGGGAGATTGTTGGCGGTCTTTTAAACCGCTCTTGGCCGATCAGCGTCTGCGTTCGAATTGCAGTTACCAGACACCTCGGCAAGTGCTTTCGCCCAGCGAACTCGCGCCGCCCACCCTCTTGTATAACCTCGACTGGACGAGGGAAATGAGACCACTCAGACCAACCTCACGAATCGGACCTCGCGAGGAAAATGAGACCACTCAAACAAACCTCCCGCTGCTGCTCCTGCTGCGGTTCCTGCTGCTGCTCCCCGCCATCATCCATCTTATCCTATTCCTCTTCCTCCTCCTCCTCCTCCTCCTCCTCCTCCCCCTCCTCCTCCTCCTCCTCCTCCTCCTCTTCCTGGAGGGTATCGGAAAACATGCTGTTTACACGGTTTCGTGCCCCCCCCTCCACTCCTCCAGAGAGGCCGCGCTTGAACGGGGAGGGTCGCGGAAAGCATTGCTCTTCGCCAGGCTTCGTAGCCCTCCCCCCTTCCAGCGGGGCGCCGCCAAAGCGAGGGGGGCATCGAGAAAATGGGTCCCACGGAACCGTTAATTTCTTTATGTGGGGAACTCCGTTAACATATTTTTTTGACAGCCCCATGGTTGCCTCGATAGACCAATCGAATCATGCATGTGGGCACCCGAAGGGGGAGCCGCCAGGGAGGGGGGCACCTGCCAGGGAGGGTGGGGGGGGGGGGGGGGGGAGGGAGGATGGAGGAGGAGGAGCAGGAGGAGGAGGAGGGGGTGGAGGATGAGGAGGAGGAGGAAGAGGACGCAGGCGGGGGGGGGGGGGGGGGGGAGGATGGCCGCCAGGAGGAGGAGGAGGAGGAGGAGGAGGAGGAGGAGGAGGAGGAGGAGGAGGAGGAGGAGGAGGAGGAGGAAGGACGGCTTACGACGACGGAGGACGCAGGATGAGAAGGAATGACTTGTATCTTCGCCGCCTTCTGTCCTCTTTCCTCACGCCTGCTCCGTCTCAGGTTATTCGAATTTAGAGCCACCCGCACTCATACTCAGACCACTCGGTCTCGGATACACCTACACTAAGCTCAGTCATACTCAGACGCATGTGCGTATATTCACTCACACTAATAAGACTCACGCCCACTCACTCAGACTCGCTCGCACTCGGGCTCACCCGCACCCAGTCTCTCATACTCAGCCCGCTCATACCCAGACTCTCTCGTACCCAGACGCTGGAATCGGAACGTGCCAGGAGACTGATGCACAGATGGGAATCTTCACGTCGAGTAACTGTTTAGAAACCGCCGACCCTTTCTTTCCTTCTCTCTCCTCCTCTGCCTTAACCAGACTCAATGACATTTAGACTTCACACGACTACTCATTCATCACACGCTTACACTCACTCACACTTAGAGCCACTCACTCACCCTCATTCTCTACTCATACTCACTCATATTCATAATCTATCGCAGTCACGCTCGCAGATCGCGAGGATGCCTCGAGCGAGGTCATTGTTTCAGCACCCAGAGATGGGGTCATTTCACGGGCCCGTTCGCGCCCAGACTGTGGGGACGTCTCAGGCGGTTTGCTCGTTTCGATGCTCAGACTCGTTTGCTTTCAGAGCATATTGTGAGGATGTCTCGAACGAGGCGGTGGTTTCAGCACTCCCAAGGGGGAGCCGCCATGAGCATTTCACGGGCTGGATCGCGGCCAGATTGCGGGGATGCCTCAGGCGGTTTGCTTGTTTCGGTGCTCGGGTTAGTCTGTTCTCAGAGCAGACTGTGAGGATGCCTGGCGCGATGTACTGGCTTTGCAATCCCAAGAAGCCCAGATTGTGGGATGAATCAGGCGGTTTGTGGTGTGGGCACCTCTGCTTTGAGAGCAGAATGCACGGGTGTCTCGAGCGAGGCGCTGGTTTCAGCACCGCGATGGGGCCCAGAGTGCGAGAACCTCTCGAGCGGTTGGCCTGTTCAGTGGCCAAGGCTCTTCTGCTCCCCTTTTGCTCTTACGCGCAGATTGCGACGATGCCTCCCTGCTAGGTTTTTGACAGCAGTCAGGCGAGGATGTTCCCTGCTAGGTTTTTGACTATATTGGATCATGTCTGGATTATTTGTCATGTATTTTGGCTCCAACATTGCCCGACCGAGTGCTAGGGTCAAGGAACAACAACGAACGGCAGGACGCACATCTTTAGAGATGCGCGCGGATTTCCCGGGTCGGCGCCAAACCGCCTTTTTTTGCGTCCCGTGGGCGACGCCGAGCGCTAGGGAGGAGGTGCGGGGAGGGCGCCTGGCGCCGATCCCGAGCAATCAGCGCGGACCTCCCGCACTTCATGCTTTACGCTGTTCGAAAATTCTGATCGAAGAAAGAAAACGGCAGAAGCACGGACTCTCGGCTCCGCCGCCTCCGCCTCCTGTGTCGAGACGGGACGACGGTCCTGTTTCAAGAAGGGACGACGGTAGCAGGGGCGCGAGGAAGGATCGGGGCGTCGTGAGGCAGCAGCTGCCTCTGAAGCCTAGAACGCCACTGTGTTGGGTCCCTTGTCGAAAAAGCTGGTCCGCGCAGAATTTCTGGATCTGCACTGGACCCCGCGCGCCAGGGGCGGCGCCGGAAGCGTCGTCGGGGGGCCCAGTGCCGACCCATGGAATCCGCGCGGATCTCCGAAGGTTTTATGTTCATGCAGATTGGTGCTCCTCTATCTACCTCCTCCTCCTCCTCCTCCTCCTCCTCCTCCTCCCCGCGGGTGGTATCTTGGACGCCTCCCGCCTTCGTCTTATCTTATCTTACCTCCTCCTCCTCCTCCTCCCCCTCTTCTCCATCCTCCCCTCCTCCCCTCCTCCCTCCTCACTCCTCCCTCCTCCCTCCTCCCTCCTCCCTCCTCCCTAGGAGGAGGCGCAGGGGACTGCTCCCGCCGCCATGCAGAACGCCGAAGGCCAGGACAGCACCTCCGACGCCCAGCCCGCCGCGCAGACACTGTCGGATGCCGCAGCCGCCGAGGAGCTGGCGCCGCAGCCGCTGTCGGATGCCGCAGCCGCGGCGGAGCTGGCCGAGCCTGGCACCTCGGAGGTCCTGCTCCCAGAGATCGACATGGGAGGGCAGGAGTCCGAGTCCCCATTCGTGACCCAGACTGGCACCCCTCACACCCGATCATCACGGGGGTGAGGGCAGACTTGCCGAAGGGGCGCCGCGACTGGGGGTGAGATTCTGGGGAGCGGCTCACGCTCGAGGCCGCCGAAGTCTCACCCCCACCCCCAGTCCTGGCACCCAGCCTTCGAAGGATTCCCCCGGGTGCTGACGTCGGGGGTGGGGGGGCCCTTTTGGGTCACCGCCCATCTCTGGAGCTCGTCATGGAGCCGGCGAATCAGACGGTGGCCGCCGCGGAGGAGGTCAACTCCACCGCAGGTGAGCCGCCGGCGCAGCTGGCGGACGCCAGGCAGGACGCCTAAGCTTTGCTCTAGGTGCTGATCCACAGCGAGACGGGAGGCGTGGGAGACGCCGCAGAGAACTGACGTGGCGGGCGGGCCCCGCGCAGGGATAGGTTTCCATGATAGGCGAAACGTAAGACTGCCTGAACCCGGGGTTGCCCACCCGTTTTGACGAGCCCGTTCTGGGTTTTTACGGTCCAGTGTTCGTGGGCTGTTTCCAGCGGGAGCTCACCTCAAGTTTCAGACTGGGTCTCGTCATTTTCCTGACGGTCCCGTGAGGCCAACTCGAGTATCCCGAACCCGAGTCTTACGTCTCCGCGACACGAGCGGCGACTTGCGCTCAATTGAGTGATTGGGGACCTTCGCGTTGAGCGCGAAACTCTTTTGCACAAGTGTCTGCGCGCGCACACGCACACGCACGCATCGGTGCGCGTGCCCAGAAATGTCGGTGTGTCGTGGAATCCGGGCTCCTCGCCCCAGCATTGGTGCCACATTTGCTCACGGGGGGGCGTACATCGTTTCTCGTCCTCCTCCGAGGTGGAGGCGGAGGAGAGGGGGGGACGGGGGAGGATGAGGGAGAGGTTCCAGCAGGAGGCGGGGCACGAACAGGAACAGCACGAGGGATGGCACATTGATGATGATGATGATGATGATGATGATGATGGTGGTGGTGGTGATGATGATGATGATGCTGATGATGATGATGCTGCTGCTGATGATGATGATGATGATGATGATAATAATGATGCTGATGATGCTGATGCTGATGCTCATGCTGATGATCATGATCACGATGATGATGACGAGGATGATGCTGAGGATGATGCTGATGCTGATGCTGATGATAAGGACAATGATGATGCTGATGATGATGACGCTGATATTCATGATAATGATGACGCTGCTGCTCATGATGATGCTGTGGTTGGTGGTGTTGGTGGTGATGATAAGCATAATGACGATTCCGACGACGATGATGCTGCTGCTGCTGAGGATGATGGTGATGATTATGATGATGGCGCTGCTTCTGCTGATGATGATGATGATGATGATGATGATGATGATGGTGGTGGCGCTGACGCTGATGATGATGACGATGATGCTGATGTTGGTGGTGTTGGTGGTGATAATGAGCATGATGACGATTGCCACGACGATGATGCTGCTGAGGATGATGTTGACTGCTGATTAAGATGATGATGCTGACTATGATACTGATGCTGATGATGCTTATTATGATGGTGATGATGCTGATGCTGGTAAGGATAATGATGCTGAATGTGTTGGTGTTGGTGGTGATGATGAGCATGATGACGGTTCCGACGACGATGATGTTGCTGCTGAGGATGATTGCTATGCTTATGCAGATGACGTTGATGATGACTACGATGACTATGATAATGACGATGGTGATGCTACGATGATGACGATGATGATTATGATGATGGCGCTGATGATGATGCTGATGCTGCTGATGTTGATGATGCTGCTGATGGTATTGATGATGATGATGACGCTGATGCTGCTGATGATGATGGTGATGAGGTTGGTGGCGTTTTTGGTGGTGATGATGACGATTACGACGACGATGCTGATGTTGCTGCTGAGGATGCCGATGGTGATGATGATGATGACGGTGATTCTGATCAGGATGCTGATGATGTTGATGATGATGATGGCGCTGTTGATGTGGCTGCTGCTGATGATGATGATGATGGTGACGACGCTGATTCTGCTGATGATGATGGTGGCGATGATGACATTGACGCTGATGGTGGTGGTGGTGATGATGATGCTGATGCTGATTATGATGCTGATGATGCTGGCGACTATGACAATGACGATCAAGATGATGCTGACGATCATGATGATGATGACGATGATGAAGATGACGATGACGACGATGATGATGACGATGATGATGACTGTTATTGTTGTTGTTATTGTTGTTGTTCTTATTACTCAATTGTTGTGAATGCAATATGATAGTGCCTATGCTGATGGTGCTGCTTATGATGGTGATGCTGGTGATGATTCTAATGCTGCTGCTGCTGCTGATGATGATGATGATGATGATGATGCTGGCGACTATGACAATGACGATCAAGATGATGCTGACGATCATGATGATGATGACGATGATGAAGATGACGATGACGACGATGATGATGACGATGATGATGACTGTTATTGTTGTTGTTATTGTTGTTGTTCTTATTACTCAATTGTTGTGAATGCAATATGATAGTGCCTATGCTGATGGTGCTGCTTATGATGGTGATGCTGGTGATGATTCTAATGCTGCTGCTGCTGCTGATGATGATGATGATGATGATGATGATGATGATGATGATGATGATGGTGTTGGTGGTCCTGGAGGTGATGGCGACTATGATCACGATTTTGACGATGATGATTTTGCAACTGCTTTGGATGCTGGTGATTATGATGATGATATTGATGCTGATGATGGCGATGATGATGATGATGATGATGATGATGATGATGATGATGATGATGCTGATAATGATGATGATGATGATGATGATGATCATGATGATGATGAGGCTGATGCTGATGATCATGATGCTGACGACGACGGTGACGATGATGATGATGCTGATGATGATGATGATGATGCTGAGGCTGGTGCTGAAGATGAGTGATGATGATGCTGCTGATGCTGATGCTGATGCTGATGATGATGATGATGATGATGATGATCAGGATGATCAGGATGATCAGGATGATGATGATGATGATGATGGTGATGATGATGATGATGATGATGATGATGATGATGATGATGATGATGATGATGATGATGATGATGATCCTGATGATCCTGATGGTGAGAAGGAGAAGGAGGATGAGGAGGAGGAGGAGGAGGAGGAGGCGCCGAACTCCTTCAGCTCGGGCGCGTCGGCGATGCATGGGGGCAGTTGTCCTGATGTTGGCTGTCAGTTTGTCCGTCGTTGGCGCCTCTGCGGGCGCGCAGCTAGAAGCACATGCTCTGGCCAGCGCGCGCAGCGGCGCCGCTGGGCGGTCCCGGGGCGCCGGCCCCGCTGCCCAGGGCCAGAACGGGCCGCGGTCGGCGGCCGCAGCAGCAGCGGCGGCGGGCAGACGCTGGCGAGGGGCGGCGGCGGGAAGCTCGAAGGCTTCTCGCACAGCCTCGTCACTCCGCCAGCGGTTGTCCTCCAGGGCTGGGCATCGCGGGCAACGACAGGGAGGGATAGGCACAGGGGGGGCTGCGTCGACCCCCACTCGCCCACTGATCCCCGACATGGGCCCGACAGCCCCAACCTGCCCAGGAGCGGGTGGATTCACTATCGGGGGCCTATCGCCGATCTATCGGCGATGTATCGCCGATTCCAGGTCGATGTTTCCCCCCCTGTGCCCATCCCCCCCCATCGTTACCCCTCAAGCAGCAGCATCGAGAACTGGCTGGCTGGCCACCGCGAAGGCCTCCTCCTGGTGTTGCTTAGCTTGTCCAGTCCGTCCTGTTGCTCGGGGGCTGGGCGCAGGTGCATGCCCTTGCACAGCATCAGCTGTGTGCAAGCGGGTCCTGCGCCGCCAGGTGCTCGGCGAGCCCGTCCGCGTACGACCACAATCTCGGTCGGGATCCAGATGTCCCCATCCAGCTCGCTGTTGTCCGTGCCGTCTCGTCTGTCTTGGACAGTACTTCACGTAGTCTCCCCAGTCATCGAACTCTTCTTGCTGCATGTTACCTACCACTGGTCGTAAATGCTGGATCGTAGTGTCGTGGCCAATTGCCGCCGAAGCGGCGTCACAGCCCAGGATGCTCTTCATTACCCTGTTGATGGTGTTGGACTCCTAGGCTGTCCTCTGGGCCCCATATGGGCCCCATTTGCCTCCCCTCGCCGGTGGTGTGCCCAGATAAATAGCTTCTCCGCAGCCTGAGACAAGTCTCATTGCCGAACGAAGCTTCCCGGAAGAGGAGGCGGAGGAGGAGGAGCAAGAGGAGGTCTAGAAGGAAGGAACGAGACGAGGAGGAGGAGGAGGAGGAGGAGGAGGAGGAGGAGGAGGACTCCCCTACGCACTTCCTATATTGCGGTATACCGCTCTACGCATGAATTCCTGCCACTCCTGTAGGACGTGGAATGAGGAGGATGAGGCGGAGGTGCATAGAGGTACAGGGGACTTGAAGAGGTTTCAGTGGGTTCAGGTGGGCTCTTGGCGTTCTGTGCTACTCCCCCCCGCTGCCCAACCATGCCTCCCACCTTCCATCCCTGCTGCTGCGCCTCGTCTCCCTCTGTCCCCCTCCCTCGTTCCTCCTCCCCCCGTCCTTCGTCCCTCCTCCCTGTCCCCTCCTCCCCCCTCCTCCCCCCCGCCCCCTCCTCCCCCCTCCTCCCCCCTCCCTCCCCCTGCCGCCTCCTCCCCCGCTCCCCGAGGGATGCACCCTGGCATCCCTGGACCGGGCCGGGGAGGCTGCGCGGGGCCTTGACTGCACGCGAACAGGCCCCCCCGCTGGCCGCCGCTCTCGTGCCGACCGCCAGCGTGGGGGGAGGGCTGCAGCGCAGGCCTGGGCATGTCATTCCCGCTGGCATCGCTCCTCCGCGCTTCTCTTCTTCCTCCTCGTTTTTTCCTCCTCCGTTCCCCCCCTGTGTGTTTGTTCGTGCCCTCCTTCTCCTCGTTTCCTTCTCCCTTCCGTTCCTCCCTTGCCTATATGCCTCCCCCACCTCCTCATTCCCTAATTGTACTTCGCTAGAGAGAGAGTTCGAGGACCACAGAAGGGTCCCACATGGGGGACGAGCCCGAGTCCGCCTGGTCGAGATCGCCCAGTCTGGCAGCCGTTTCGCCTGAGACTTCCTCACAACTGATTCAGGAGTCGTGCTCTCGCCTCAACGCCGGCCACACCTTTGGTGCGAACGGCCAGGGTTCTTGTTTAACCATGCCCTACGGTGCACATGGCTGTGCTCTTGCCCCCGTCCTGGCTGCATCTTTCCTGGGAGTCCCTGGGAATACTCAGGAATGCACGCTTTCATACTAGCCAACCTCCTACTTCTCGACCCGCCTCTTCACCTTTGCTGCTATTAGGCTGCCTTGCAGCTGTAACTTCCTCCTCTTCCTCGCCGTTGTTTGGTAAGACCGGTGAGATGTTAGTGAGGCCGGCATATGTATAGATTTACATATACATATATCGATACCGTGAGAACATTTGGCGGACAGTAAGGTAGATTGACATATAGTGAAATCGGCGGGTAGGTAGGGGGGTCGGTTGATGGCGATGCCGAGAGATCGATCGGTTGCGAATCCAGTCGGAGACCACTCGCAAACCAACAGCTGCGTTTATCCCGCCCCCTAACCTCCTGCTCACCCCGAGGGTGGTCTATGATGCACGTGCCGCGGGGGTAGCGAGCATGCGTTTGGCACGCGTGTGGTACGAGTGGTCCCTTGTGTAGGCGCGGCGCGGCAGCCGCCTGGCGGGCGGGGAAGGGGCCGTGGGAGCGACGCACAGCGCCGCCGCCTCGGAAGAGGGACGCGGCGACGGCCCCAAGAGGCCGAAGACTGCCAAAACACGTTCGTCACACATTTTCGCGCCACCGAAGACGCCCTGAACACCTCGGACTCGCCGCCGCCGCCGCCGCCGCCGCCGCCCCTCGAAGGCCTGCTCCGAGCGGGCGCCGCCGCGGCCGCCGCCAGGGACTTCCCTTCGCCGCGTCGGGTCGAGGGTGTCGGGTCTGAGGACTTCTCAGTCGGCTCCCCTTAGAGGCGTGAAAATGAGCGCCTCGCTCGAGACATCCTCCAACTCCGCTCCGAAAGCGAAGGATGCTTGGACAGAAAACAGGCAAACCGCTTGAGACATCCCCACAAAACGGCCGCGAACGGGACCGCATCGGGCACGGCAGGTCAGGGGGGGGAGAGGCGAGGTTCGCGGAGGGGGGGGGGAGCACGTGCAGAGCGCGGGGTTCTTGAACGGGTTCGCCGGAGCACGTGCACAGCGAAGATCGGGGCTCGAGCTGAGCGGTGTTTTGGCGACATCGTGGGCCGCTCTCGTTTTGATTTCGTTGCGCAACAAGGGCAGAGCGAAAGCATAACGAAGGAAAACGAAACAACAAGACACAAACGAAACACACCAAGGGAGTCGTGGAAGAGGGCGGAGCTCGAGCCGAGGAGCCACAATCCTGGGCGTTGCCGAAGGCGAAGCAACCGGGGATGCGTCTGGTCGGTCGTCCAGGGGGGGAATCGTGGAAGCCCCCCAAGGAGCCCCAGGAGGCCCCAAGAGGGCTTCAGGACCCCAAGAGGCTCCCAGGAAGACCTCAGGAAGCCCCAAGAGGGCCTGAAGAGGCCTCCTCTTCTTCCTCCTCGTCCTCCTTCTGCTCATCGGTTGAGGTGGTAGCTGCATGAGTGTTACGCTGGGAGTAGAGCTGCACCTATCCCCCAAACGCTCAACGCTGAGTCCTGTCCTATCCTGTCCTTCGTCCCCCTCAGGGGGGTTACGACGCCTGCTGCGTGCGGGTGGTTTCGGCCCCGCCGTCGGGCGCTTTCTTCGATGCACTTGCGCCCGCGGCGCAGGAAGGTGCCGGAGCAAGCAGCTGCATGTATAGCTGACTTGCGAGCGCCCCCTTTCCTGCCCCCCTTTCAGAGGTCGACCTGGACGGCGTTTTGGCGATCTCATGGGCCGTTTTCGTTGCGACTTTGCTCTGCAGGAAGAGGCGGACTGGAGACGGAACGAGGGAACAACCATAACAAAACGAGAACGAAAGACGCTGTTTTGGTCGAGCCCAGTCCCTCTTCTCGTATGCCCCGAGGGGGGGAGGGGAGGGGGGAGCAGGAGGCACGAGGGAGGAGGAATCAGGAGAGGAGGACCAGCGGGTGCGAGCTGTTCCAGCGAGCGGGCACGCCGTTGTCGCAGTCGAGGTGGTCCTGCCCGCCATTTCTGGGTCAATTTTAGTGACATTCTCATCGTGTTGTCACGCCAGGCTTCTCATGCGAGCGTTTCTTTTCAATCTATGCGGATTGTAGGCCCCAATTCCGTTGCAAAGTGTTCTCTGTGTGTGATATGGGCAGGCACCTTGATGGCAGCGAAGGCAGTGAAGGAGGGGGATGGGTACACGAGGAGAGGGAAGATGACGACGGGGGAAGAATAAGGAGGAAGAGGATTCAGAATATTCAGATGGAGGAGGCGGGGGAGGAAGGGGAGACACGAACACCGCCGACACATTCAGGAACATGCGATGGACCGTCATAACATGACGCATATTGGCACCAACACATAGCACAGCGTAGCATATATATATATATATATATATATATATACAAGACTGCAGTGGCGCTTCGCACCATGCACCTTGGTCCTTGAAGTTTGGTATGCAGGCGGAATAGCAGGAAGGTCAAGCCGACAATTTAGCGATAACTCCTGGTTGCCTTTCTGGCATCGTCGCTATAATACTATTATTCGTTATCCTTCCTCCATGCTTCTTTTCCCTTATCTTCGCCGTACCCTGCGCATTCTCCCCATCCTCCTTAGCTCTGTTTTGCGGAGGCTCCTCCTTGGAGAGCCTCTAGGGGCCTCACAAAAGTTGTTTCAGGCTTTCTTAAGGCCTTCTGGAGACCTTCTGGGCGTATTCTGGGGGCCTCGGGGGGCTTCCTCGGGCCACCCTGCCTCCAACCACGGTCTCCCTGAACGACCGAATCACGATTTGGAATTCTTCGGAGGGTGTCTTTGGGCCATCTTGGGCCGCCATGGGGCTCTCTGAGGGCCATCTTGGACCCGTGTTGTGCCGTGTTGGGGCTCTCTTCGACTGCCTGGAAGCCCTTTCGGATGGTTGTGGGGCGATTTTGGAGCCTCCCAGGCGGCTTCGGACGCCCAGAAGACCGCCGTCTTGGAGCGTCGGGAAGCCGAAAAGAGGAGAACCCTAAAATTCACTAAAAATCAACAGAAAATCAATGATTTTTGCCTCGGGGGGCCCTCTTGGGAGTGCTCTTGGAGGCCTTTTTGGGGCCGTCCTGGAGGCCTCTTGGGCCATCTTGAGGTCACGCCGGTCACTCTTGGAGCGCTCTGGTGCTGTCTTGGGGGTCTCTGGGACGTCTCCGATGACCCCCCTGATCGCCCTAGGTGTGCTGGGAAGGCTTGGCAAAACGCCATGTGAGGCCCGGTGGCCGCTTCGAGGCCCGTCTGGAGGGTCCCAAAGCCCCAGATCCCGGGAGTCCGGTTTTGGGGGGGGGATGGGTTTTCCCCCCGCCCGGGCTTATAAACATATAGGAAGAGGAATATGTATACCGTAGTATGGGGCAGTACGCAAATGTAATACATGGCGGCGTGCGAGTTGGTCCAGTTGGCTTACTTTCTTTGTAGGGTTTGTGGGCCCCTCACGTTGACGACGTCTGACGCGGGGCGCCCATTTTGAAAAACACACGTTCCCTCCATCTTGGTGGTACTTTTCGGAAGCTTTCAAGACAACAGTGTTCGGCCCTGAGACGGCGGCCACATTCGGGAACACGCGAACCCTCCATCCTTGTAATGTGGCGCCGACGTCTCTCGAAATGATCATACGTGGCGAGACCGTCTGAGGCGAAAAGCCCGGCCCGCACTGTCGACGCACATGGTGCGCCGAGGAGGAGACGTTATGTTTGGTGGAGAGGAGGAGAGCAGAAGGAGGAGGAGGAGGATGAAGAAGAGAAGGAAGAGGAGGAGGAGGAGGAGGAGGAGGAGGAGGAGGA